GGTGTTTTTATTGGTACAATTCCCACTTAGGGCCTGTGGGACTTCACCTGGGGCTCATTTGTTAACAATAGGATTCACTGAATTTCACCTTCAGCCGTCCACAAATGAGACCCCTAGAGCTCAATTTTTCTTTAATAAATGCAGGAATCAATGCCATTTGAGTTGCCCTGGAGTATCCAACATGGCCCAGGTTTAAGAAAGTGAACATAAGCCTTAAAGTGGGATTCAGCTCACAGAATCATCCTTCTAAGCTTAGGGATCCTTAGCTGGGTATCTGGATGCACCAGCCCCTTATGTTTATATTATTTAGAGCCTTGAAATAGCCTAGGCTATCCCATGCTGGTGGTCACAGGTGTCCTACTCATTCTGCATCACATCTGCAAGCCCTTGGAATCATAGAATCTTTTGGGTTGGAAAAGACCTTTGAGATTATCTAGTCCAAGTAATAAGCCAGCACTGCCAAGTCCACCACTAAACCATGTCTCTAAGTGCCACATCTACACCTTTGTGGAGGTTTTGGAGGTTATAGGACATCTCAAACAGCACTAGGTGCTTACATCTGGCAAACAAATTCAGCTGTACTTGGCTACTTCAGGCCAGGCAGGATAACTCTGCTGCCATTTACTGCTGTCCAACATGGGAGCTGAGGCTTTGGTGCACCTGGGTCTCTGAGCCGGCTGAGCAAGTCATTTCATTCAGGGCCTGACTGAACGGCCTAAACAGGGGTGCCTAGTGCCTTCTGAGATACCTGCAGTACTCTGAAACACCCACACGGGGCTGGCAGGTATGACAAAGGACCTGAAGGACACCTGTGCTCTTGTGTTGCAGTGGTTGTAGCTGGCAGGGTATCCTTGGGCACTTGGGGCAATACTTGGTGTCTCTACTAAGAAAACTGAATTTTGCTCCTGTTGTCCTCTTACAGCCATAGGAAAGGCAGTGACAGCTTCAGACAGCTCTTTTATTCCCTGTTCTTCAGATGGGAATAATTGTCTCCAGGCTGTATTTATGTTACCCTTTCCAGTAAAGATCTCTACAGGGTAAAGCAGTGGCCTGTGTCTGCTTTGAGGAGTGCTGGGCTGAGGCTGAGGTTCCTGAGCAGATGTACTGATATCTCAGCACCTCTAAGGTCTGTGGCCAATATACCTGTATGGCATCATGTGGCCTGAAACAGCACCTGTGCCTATTGCATAGAACAGCACATCACCTTCCTCTGTTATTGCTGCTGCTTATCCCTTTTTAACTGTATGGTGTCAGGTCTGTTAGACTAACTCAGGTCTCTTCTGATTTCCAAATGACCTCTCTTCTCTAACAGAGAATTCCCCACCCCCCCAGTTGGTCCTGACTCTTCTTCATTGTCTGCTTCAAAGCCATAGGGCTTTAACTCCCATGTGCCCCAATGAAAGCACCTGTATCTGTTCAGAGCAGGATGATGAATGAAAAAATACTTTGCCTTCCCCCATGCTTCCTATTGACCTTTAAATAATATAATATATACATATAAATAATTATAAATAAACTTGCATTGCCCTGTTGTTCTCTCTGTCAGCTCTACCTGAGTGAGAAGGGCAGTACAACTGCAAAAATTTGTGAGTATGTTTATTTTATCATTGAATTTAGACTTTTGGAGATGGGAAATCTTATAGTCATGTTGCAGAAAAAGAGGAAATGTCAAAAATTCTCTTCTTTCACATACTTACATGTCAGGAGAAGGCTCAAATGATTTCTGGTCCAACTCTGTAACAGTCTACTTAGCTACCATTTTATTAAAGATACGGTAGCCCCAGGTCTAAGAATAGGGCAGAGAGCTCTGATCCATTGACACAGGCCCTTAGGAATATTTAAACACAAATATCCAGCAAATCCCAGCAAATCAGCAAATCAGCAAAACCCCAGATGGGATGGGAAATGTGACATTCTCATGCTTGCACTCAAAAAGACAAGCAGGATGGCCCAGCCCATGGTTGGCTAGTTTGACATTGCTTTAGCAAAATAATGGACATATTGATACGGGCATAAAGACATTAAAGGAGAGGTAAACAATTAATGCCAATCAACATGTTTTTTAAGGGAGGAAGGGTTGTCAAACTGGATTTCATTCTTTGATGTGATTGTAGGTTTTGGCTGATAAAAGTAATTGCGAAGATGGAATATATTCTGACTTTTGTATGTTTGACAGCACAACAGATTCTGATTAAAAAATTAGCATTCTACTCTATCAATACAAGGCACATAAAATGGTTTAAGAACGGGCTGACATGTCAACAAAGAAGCTGTCAAAGGGGACTCACTGTAGGAGAGTATTTTTATAGAGGGGGCCTGAATGCTATTCAATATTTTCACTAATGAGGTGGAGGTAAATAGTAAAACTGCTGATAACATTGGAAAATGTTGAAGAGGACTAAGAGCTACACAAAAGGGCTCTTAGTGTGGTTGTGAGTAAGCTTTCAAGTTGAAGAACAGGCAAGCAGACCACACACAGAGGAACCTGGAGCACAACATATCTGAGAGGGATTTTGACATACTAAAGGAGCAACTAAAATAGTTCTGTCAGTATGGATTTTTGTTGCTTTTGCATGTCATTTTTGCAAGGACTGATGCAATCCCTGACTGTGTCATTCAGAGGAGTAGACTAGGGATGAAATTTTTAATTTCTGCATGTTGCATCACTTGAATTGATGTTGAAATAATGCATTTGGCTCTGATACCCCAAATTTAGAAAGCATGTTGAGGGGGTGTGTGGGAAAGGAGTTGTAGAAATAAAGCACACAAATTATTCAGGGACTAAAAAACCACTATTGTGTTTAGATGCTTCCAGAGCATGATATATTTATTTTATGAGCGAGGGATGAAAAGCAACTCGAGACCTGCTTATGAGTGTCTTCGGGGGAAAATGGCAGATGCAGAAGGGCTCTTTAATGTAGCAGAACTGAGCAGAGGCAGAACCTACAGAGAAAACATCTGCAGAAGCACGAACAGGGATTCAGCAGAACGTGCACCTCTGGGAAGGGGTGGACTTTCACCCCAACTCCCAGTGCCTTCAGAATTAAGTTTAAAATCTTTTGGTTGTGTATTTATTGGTTTGACCAAACATGAGGTGAGGGAGAAACTGTTGACCTGCATGTGAAAAGTGAGACCTGGTGATTTGCTGGTCCCCTCTGGCTCTCAACTGAAAGGCATGGAGCTGTGAGAGTGTCAGTTTAAGGAGATGGTAAATCCATTCCTTTCTTTCCTACAGGGCTTCATCTCTGCTCTTCCTTTTGCCTCTGTCCGAAATCCCTCCCTTCCTCCCTCCCCTCTGTGGTCTCCATCCTGAGGCACTACACAACGCCAAGAGTAAAATTTTTCAAACCACTGGTTGGAGGGACATGAGATAACGCTGGAAATTTTGTCTGGTATGTTCTCAGGCAGGTTTTCAGAAGGGAAAACACCAGCAAAACTTTATACCAGAAGTCAGCCCACTTTCCAGACTGACTCTGTCTCCTTCTGCTGGCAAGTCACGAATTTATGCATGTCCTGTGAGTAAGAGTCCCCAGAGCAGCCGGGGAGGCTGGGACACCACTCCCTGAAGTACCGTCTTGAGGAAACAAGTCTCCAAGATTCAAATGCTCCTTTGTTTATGAAATAAAGTCCACCAGACCTACTGCCAATTGTTTATGCTAAAGAGCACACTCCCATTAATGCTAATGGTGCTTTGGAGCATAAATCCTTGCTAATTGATATAGGAATGTATCCCAGAAGAGTTTACTTTACTGCTGATTTAGCTGATAGATATAAATGTGTGAGAGGGAAATATTAGCATTCATGTAAAACAATTAGGTTATCAACAGGGGCAAATGATTCAGAAAATGACTGCAACTTTCTAGTTCCCTTTAATGGAAAAAAAGAAAGTCTGCTAATGAGGAAAATCAGAGGGAATACAAATATGAACTAATCATTGCTATTATTTAATATTTGTGTTATAACAGCAGCCCGTGAAAACCAGGGCTGGGTCCCCGCCTGAGCTCTGTGCAGATGAGGGATGGACAGGACCATCCTGCTGCCCACCAAGGTCAGTCCTCTCTGTGGCCTCTCTCTGGTGGAGCAGTATTTTGGGCTTACAAAGCTAACACACCTGGCCACTGGATGTTGGGCTCAGTAACCTTTACTAAATACATATGAATAGAGGAGAATGATACAAGCGGCGGATAGATTTCCACAATTTAATTTTTTTTCCAGATAATATAATGGCATATGAAAAGTGAGGCAGTAATGCAGTTCAAAAGAAAAAAAAAGAAAGCAACCCCTCTCCCCCCCTTCCCTCATTCTCCTGGATCTTTCTGCCAAAGGCTGACATTATTGAAAGTTTGATAAATACAAGAATTACGGGCATTTCCATAAAAATCTGATTGTTTAAAATCTACAATTTTGTGGCAAATGTACAGCCATTGAAGGAATAATTTTTTCAGTGTATTCAACAGTTTCACCTATTCAATTCCCATTTAATTCATGGGTTTTGATGTGAAAATGTTTTCCTAAGAGAAGGCTCAGATGCAGGAAATGTACAGTAAGCCACACATGTTCCCCCAAAAGATGCTTTGACCTCCAGTGTGGAATCTGTGGAATTTTGAGCATATGGGGTTTAATTTTTTAGCTCTAAACCCACCTAGAATGAGGAGGAAAAAAAGTCACATACCAAAATCTATAGTATCATTTGTGACAGTAATATAGTATTGTTTCATGACATTTTCTGATTCACATATTTTTTTGATTTTAGTGCAAAACTAAGCACATTTGCTTCCGCAAATACAGAAGAAGATTGAAATTTCTGCATTTTAGTCTCTTTTGCTGCAAGTCACTGAATGGTAAGACTTTTTCTCCCCACAGACTTCAGCAAGTCTAATTTTCAAAGTCTCTGTTATTAATGAAATATCAAGCAAATTAGGTAACATTTGCCTGGGCATGGTTAAAGACCACGCACCCAGTGAGATTTCATATAACAAAAAGCGCCCAACCCTAGAAACATTTTTTTTTTCCATTTAATGCTCATAAAATTTTACAGACAACAGAATCCTTTCTTAAGCTTTATTTAAGAAATCGAATACTATTATAGTTCAATATATATAAGACACATCCAGTATTGTGTTCCTGATAGCAAGTGCATAGATTTTGTTAAGATATCATTTTTATATTTAATTTTTTTTTTATTTGTTACTCAGTAGCACGTTTCATGATCACACGAAGGGATATTCCCAGTGATTTTGCTAAGAGCATGAGAGAAAAAACAGAACACAGCAAAGTAGTGAAACTACAACAGAGATGAGGAACAAAAACGATCAGGCAAACTATCAGTACAGTCGATTCCTGATAAGTGAATAATCTGATTGCTTGGTCACAATGCTTTATTCACTTATCAGGAATGATTCACACTACATTTTGTTAAACTGTTTTCCTTAGCCTAATACCTAAGAGTCACACTGGGCAAAGGCACACACACTCTGGCAGGCTATTCTTTAATCAGCAAGTCTTGTGACAGTTTGGTAATTTCCCATGGTGATACACATATAGCTAACAAAGAGACATTTTGCTAACACTGCAAGGTGCCTTACATAATTGAAATTAAAAGCATGCGTTTAAGCAGGACAAACTGTTCAGCTGCATTGCTTTAAGGAACTCGTTTTTCCCCATTGTTGAAATAAAATAATAAAAAGAATGAAAGAAAGAAAGAAAACCCTGTATCTTTCAGCCCTGAGTATTTAAAAGAAACCCAACTGCAGTTTAAGTCTTTTTTTTTTTCAGTTGTATTTTTGGAAGAAAAGACCCTTCACAAAGCTCTAGTTTCTTTCCTAAGACCAAGTTTGGAGGAAAAAAAAAGAGAAAAGAAAAAAAATAAAGCATCCACAGCAAGCTAAAAAACCCCCGAGAGCAATTCTGATTCATCATTCATGCAAGTCAAGACTTACTTAACTGAATCCACTGATGTCAAAATTATCCAAATCGGGATCATAAACTCTAGAGGTGTCAAAGACCCAGGATACAGTCTGACCATTGGGTTCTGCTTTCCTGCCTGGGCTGTCTGCTACAGGCTCCTGTGGTTTTAGATTAAGTTTAGGGTTGCTTGGACCTCTGACCTCTGACAACAGACCCTGCGAGATGACATTGGAGCTTCTTAGGGGCTCCAGACTCATGGTTTATTTGCTTCTATGGAAATGGAAAAGTGAAAAAAGGAAAAAAGAATTTAAAAAAAAATGCATTGAGCAGTAACAACCAGGCCAACTCACAAGCCACCAGAAAATTTCAAAAGTCTTCCAAAGGCAGGAACCAACGTTGCTGCTGACACCACACGGATACACCCAGTGCGCCAGGACCAGTAAGACGGTATTGAGGGGGGCTGTGTGTGTGTGTGAGCCAAAGCCAGAGTGCCAGAAAGACCAGGGGAGAGGAGACAAGAGGGAGGAGTGTCATTTGGGTCTCATAAGAGCACTTTTAAGTGGTCTTCGATTCCTGAGCATCACAGAAAGTGGGACAAAGGAAAGGGATGGGGGCATATGGCTTGAATTCCAGAGAGCACTCGCCAGTGCTTCTCTCTCCTCCTTGGGTTTGGTTTGGTTGGTTTTGTTTTGCTTTTCCCCCCCCTCCAAATTGTAAGGTTTGTATCTGCGATCAAACAGAGGAGAGAAGAGACTTTTTGTAAACCAGAACAACATAGATTTTTCTTTTGCAGCTTTTATTTCGTCGTGGTAGACACCGGCTGGGGGAGAGCAGAGAGATTCTTGTGAGGAGAAAAAAATTATAGGAAATGAAAGAATAAAAAAAGCTAAAAGCCAACTGTAAAAAATAATGAGAAAAAAAAGGGCTATGGTATTTCTTTAGTCCCTTTTGAGATTTGTGTAATACTATCAGCCAATGCTGAGAATGATCTGCTTTGTAAGCCCACAGCAAAAATATCACCCATTGGAACAACAGGGGATCTTTTTTCAATCATTTATTTCTCCTTCCTTTTATTTTCGTGGTGTATTTTTTTTTTTTTTACTTCCGCTGGCTTTAATAGAAAGTCTTCCTGTGCTCCCTTTATTTTTTAAAGTATTATACGTATAACTGCACATAACAAGCTCGATCACCTGGTAGGCTTTTGCAGGCTCTCACAGCCCTAGTTAAGACGTGATTAGTTTCTAAGGAGAGTTTGACTAACGCCATATGCCATCAGATTACTGTGCAGTTTGGAAGAAATCCCAAGGCTATATCCTCCTTTTCTTGAATGTTTCATGTGCTTCTGCGAAGTAGTGGCAGAGTATTATTTTTTTTTTTTTACAACTAGGAAGAACTGATCTCCATTATCCACATTTTCCAGACTGACTGAAATGTCACAGCAAAAAAAACCAAAACAACTTTTCAGGTGACTTCTGTGTGTTTGTGTGCAGAAGGTTTTGCAGTTCGAAGGCTAACAAAAGCTACCTTGAATAGGACTTTGCAAGAAGCTCATTTAAAATGCTTCCTGCTCCGAGAGATTATCCAAGTGATAAGGCATGACTAGGGGGAGGAAGAGAGAGAAAAAAAAAAATCAAAGAAACCAGAACATGTCTAAAATGTACAAATCCTCTTTTGCCCCCCAATCAGCTATTCACTTAGGTGGAATCGACTGTATCTTTTGTACACAACCAACAAATAGAGAAAAAAAAAAACAGGCACGTGAAACAGTGAGGTGTGTAGATGTATTACCAACACAGAATGACCACCAACAATACAACACACAAAGTAGAGAGACAAGTATTAGGAAAATGGTTTAATATTGGAGACAGAAGCAAAAAACTGCATCACACAATAACATACGTTACAAAAATAAGTCTGACTGTTTCAACTACACGGTTATGTTCACAATGAGGACAGAAGAATCAGAAAAAACTCTGATCTAAACAGCAAAAAAGCAAACCCCTAACGTTTTAACTAATACATTTATCCACGCAAAGTGACCGAGTACTCCTAATTCTAATTACCTTATTGTGTAACTGCACAATACAGAATAAAAAGTGAAACTTACCGCTTTTGTTAAGACAAAATTCTAAACACTAGATATAAGCAAAGGGAAAAAAAGAAATCAAGCCAAAGTTTTGAATTCTCGAAACAAAACCAACTCTCTTTCTACCGTCCAGAAATCAAACTTGAAAATCAGTCATGATCGAGGGGGCCCACGAGAGTAAGCCACAAAAATTTCCATTTGTTTTTTAATCTCCAGTATAAAAAGTTCCACTGGTACAAAATGCATAAGTACAATCAAGTTGTAGAAATAGGAAAGCCTGCTTTTTTTTCATTTTTTTTTTGTTCTTTTTTTTTTTTGGCTCAAATTCCATCAAACAACAAAATCCAAATGCATCAATAAAACAGAAACAATACTCAAATGGTCTTACAGTTTCCACTAGATTGCATTAACTTTGGCTTTTCTCAGACAATACTTAAAAACTAGTTCGTAATTCTAAACAAAATGATAGTATTATTAATCTACAAACAACAATTCTCACAGCACAAAAAGAACACAAATACATAGGTTTGTTTTTTTTTTTCTTTTTGTATGACATTATCCAAAAAGGTAATGAAACTACAGGATATTTTTTCCTTTTGTTAATTAGCACTTAAGATAATAAAAACAGAAACAGTAAAATGATTCCAGAGTAGCACAAGCCAAGGAACTGTAACCCCTATGGTGAAAGAAAGATGAACTTGTTACTCCTTTGAGGACTGCCATTTCATTGCAATTAGCTAATTTGTTTGAAAAAACAACTAGTCTAGTCTTTTGATTAGAATTTTGTAAAGCAATTTCCCTTGTTTTACTTCCTCTCTTATTAGGCCCTTGCACCCTTGCAGCTTTATCCTTTCAATATTTTGAAAGGGAACTGGTACATAATTTGTCTCCCAGGAGGCGTACGTTTGGGTTTTTGGTTTCATATTTGATTTTTATTTTATTTTTTAATTTTTTTTTTCCCCCAAGATGGACTCTTTTCTAAGCAATGAGCCACCTCAGTTGCCTGGAAGTACAGAAACATTCCTCCTCTCCCACTGCTAAGCCAATGTCCTGTGGAGTGTAATTCAGGGCAGCCTGGTGCCGAGTTACACTGCCTGAGGACCAGAAGCATCATCACTCTAACTGGACTGGTAAACCCACAGGACACACCAGGGCATCTAAAAAAGCTTTAGAAATTTAGACAGTGGGTACAATGAGAAATATTAGTGAAACAGTCTAAACAATCCAAATGATGATCTCATATTATATATATATATGTACATATATATAATATAACGTACGTGAGATGACACTTTGAATACGCACAATTGCTGCAAGTAGTACAAAATAGCCCTCAAAGGGTGTAGGAAGGCCCCAGCAGTAGTAAAAACGTGAGAAAAGTGTAGATCATTTATTTATAAGTGCATGTGCTATAAGAAGGAAACTTTTTTGCATCACTAGAGGCTAGTCCTTTCCATCCCAGGGCTCTACGTAAAGAAGCATTTAAGTTGGGGATGAGAGACAAGAGTGCACCAGCTGATGTTGCTCATATAGGGCTTAGTTTTTTGAATTTGAGGCGGCTTCAAATAGAATTGGGTAGAACTAGGAGGTGGAAGAAGGTATGGCACTTTACGATCAGTAGCAGGTACTGCTGCTCACACGCATTGGGTTGGCAATGAATTCACTAGACCGGTGGCAAAGAACCGAATTTGGTTGTTGGTCACTACTTGTGCGGTAGAAATGCAACCTAATCAGACTTACAAGGCAGTGTAAAAAGGGCTACCAGCATCTCTTTTTCTGGTTCCTCACACAGAGCTTCCTCCAGCAAACACCCACACCAGTCACCCAGATATTCCCATGGACTACTGGGACGAGTGAAGTCACTCCCCTCTGTACGAGTGTCTGCGGGAGTAAGCCAATATATTGCCGTGACAAATAATGGCAGATAACACCAAACATTACAGTGTATGTAAACTTTATCCATAAAAAGTAGTTTAACTGCAGTGCACACTGAATTTTCACCCAGGAAGATCTAGTGCATCTGATTTAAGCAAAAGTTCATTTATTTAAATTACAAAAATATTATTATTTTTTTTCTTTTTTTTTTTTCCCCCTCAAGGTTTTCAAATGGTGGATTGACCGCTCCGGGCTGGGAGTGGCTCACACAATAGATAATTAAAGAATTGTTTTCTTTTTCTTTTATTTTATTAATACTGAATAGCATATTCCAGCAGCATATTAAAAGCTCTTTAAGAAAAGACAAAATCCCCAAAATCTAAAAAGGAAAACCACAAGTTAATTACTGTTTTAAATAATTTTAGTTATAGATACAGAAGAAATTTAGACAGCAGTAAAATATTTTTGTCCTTCAGATCTGCCCTGTGCATTGTTCTGATTTCAACCATGTATTAAATAAACCACAAAAAACTAAGTATATATATATTTATAGATATAGATATATATATAAAAATAAACAGCAAAATGGTGAATGTATAAAAGGTATTAACACTCAAGACAGCTCTGGGTGGAAAGGGTTAAAAGTTCAAAACTTTCTCACCTTAGAGGTTTCCATACAATATGAAGAAAATACATAGTGAGGTTTGCTTTCACAGCATTGATGTGTGCAGAGTGGTTAAAAAAGTGAAACATGGGCACTTATACAATGTTTTACAAAAAACATCAAAGAGAAATAACAAACAATAACAATTTCAGGCAACAAGACCACAGGATAGCAAGTTAACAAACTTTTTAACCTCTTTTTTCTTTAAATATTAGGGATTTATACAAAACACATAATAAAATACCCATGTTATCAAATTACTTCACACAAGAAACACACTGAAGCTCTAGGAAGAAAGTACCTTTGGAATTTGGCACTATAGTTTCACTGATTTTTTTTTTCTTTAAAAGAAAAACCGATCACATTTTGCTGAACACAAACACACCTAAATTGTTCACAATAAAAAAATGACATCAATGCGTCACAAGCCAACACAAACTTATTCTGGAATATTTTTTCATTTTTCACATGAAATTATTTTTTTTTTAAGCAAACAACTTTTTTTTTGTGTTTTTATTTTTTTGAATCTTGTTTTTGTTCTTGTTGTTCAAGTAAACCAATTTTAAACTCGTCTTTTATAAACATAGAACACTTAAGACCATAAGACTCATGATGAAACCACAACTTAATTCACAGAAGCACCAACGTAACACATTTTACAGTAACCTTTCTTCTGTACATTGAAACAGTATAAAATATAGGTAATTTCATGTGCATTAAACCATGGATTGTCTAACTGTGAGTCAGTTCAGCAAAAGGTGACACAAGTAGGTAGCATTTGCCCTAAAACAGGGTAAATATTTTCTTATACTAATCTACAAAAAGTGGTTCTATATATATACTTTAATGAGAAAGTGAGCCACCTAAAATGGCCTTATCAAAAAACTTTACACTGCCTGAAAAATGTAAAAACTATTACAGACCTCTAGAGACTTAAAATCAGACAGTTTTATTTCTCAAACTGTTTTGGAAGTAGTCTGTTAGAAACCAACATTCTGTGCCTCTGGACACATATTGCTATTGTCACCAGTGACCAGGCAGAATGCCAATCCCTGTATAATACTTTCAAGTCTGTTTTTTTTTTTATTTTTTTTTTTACGAAATGAAAAAACGAAAACCAAAAACCAACCAAAAAAAACCAAAAACAAAAACCCAAACCAAACAAAAAGAGAAAACAAAACCCAAAACAAAAATCCCAAACAAAACAACTCCAAGGAAAGAAGAAAACCAAAAATGAAAAGAAAAAAAAAACAGAAAAAAAAAAAGGAAAGAAAGAAAAAACATTTTGCCACAGGTTGTTTTTAAATCCTATCATTAATTTATCTAATAATAAATTTCAGTCTTGCATGAATGCAGCAATGTTTTTTCACATTGACTTCCCAGAATTCATAGCTAGATGAGGTCACATGCAAATTTCAAAGGTCAAACTAGGTCAGTAGGAGAACCAAATATGATGTGAGGTCAGAAAGACATCAGAAACAATGACGGGACGATGAAACTTTTTTTTTTTTTTTGAGACGCCACAGGGACATGCTAGGCAAACGATGGGCTAACGGGCATGGAGATGTCTAGGGAAAAAACAAGGAAGAGGAAAAAAAGTTACACAGAATCTATGCAGCACAAACAAAATCACTTTTATGGGTGCAGGAGAAAACTAATGCAAATCTTTCATCAGTAGAGCCTATGAGCCGTTCACATAATTTGCATTAACTCACAATACTTGTCAACAAGAGCACAATGGAACCCCAAAAGGATCCATCTGAAAGGAGTCAGAGAGAATGGATTCCTCTTTGGGGAGAAAAGAGAGGAAAGAACCAGTTTCTACAAATGTAACAGAAAGGTACAGGGAGGGGAAGGGAAGGGTCAGACAACCAAACTTTAAACTAGGTAATGGAAACTACAAACAAAATAACCAGACAAATACAAACAAGAGGATAAAAGTATGAACTGTAAAGGGTGGAGGGTTCAACAGTGAAAAAGCGCCCATTCTTGGCACAATTACTCTAGAGACTACTTCAAAGGATCTAGCTAGCATAGAGAGCTGCTCTTTAGGTATCCAATAAGTTAACAATAGGCAATAAATAAATTCCATTATTTCTGAGGCAGTAAAAATTTTGTATAAAAATAGAAATGCTTTTTACAAATAAAATTTACAGGCCTGTGGCTTTCTTTTTTTTTTATTATTATTAAATTTATCTCTCAAGAAACATCAAGTATTGTCACTCATTTTATTTTATTTTTTTTTATTTTAAACCCTGTAGCTTTAGAAACAGATCTCTAAATCTTTTTTACATTAATCCTTTCCAAAAAAAACCAAGAACTTAAAAAAAATGAAATATAAAGACGACCAGTGTAAAATCAGACTAATATATAACAATACGTTGATTTGAACCGAAAAAAAAATCAAATCTTCTCAAAAAACAAGTTGATGTAGTGGAAAGACTTGTTTCAATTTTTGTTGCAAAGTAAGTGCTTCAACTGGCATGAGGCCATTTTGTTTAACCTATAAACTGCTGGTGCCACCCTGGTAAAATACGATCCATCCATAGAAAACAACTTTTATTGTGTGCTAATGGCACCAGGGTTCACAGAGTTAAATTGCACATTTTTTGTGTCTGTGTGTGTGTGCTGTTTTGAATTTCAAGACGTTTATTTTTGTTTCAAAAAGGAGATAAATTATGCTGCAAAACAAAATACAGTAACACAACTCAGTAATTACTTGGCAAGGAAATGGGAGCCAAGTGTAATAAGGACAAGTGGGGAAATGGAAGTGGTAACTGTAAAAATAACTGTCTCTTGGTGAAGGTTGGCTCTATGTTCTTTCTTAACCCCCCTGCAGAGGACAGGTTTGCTCATGGGACTTACCCTAAGAAAGCTAAAATAAGAGCAGTAAGCATCTGGGGTTAAGATCAGTAAGGTTTGCTGTCATTTTTGGAGCGTTTCAGCTGAACCTTCAAGCGTTTCATGCCAATCTGAAAGCCGTTCATAGCCTGGATAGCAGCTTGTGCAGAGACTGGATTGTCATAGCTAACAAAACCTAGGAGACACAGAACAGAGGTGGGAGAGAAAGTCAACTGCAGGTTAGAACAAATGTCAGATGGCATTTTGTTAGGTTTTTATTATCACTATTTATTTGATACATTTACCTTGCTTTCAATTAGTTCTTTCAGCACATTTCATATCCCATTTCCTCTCCCGTTTCCTTTGCCTTCCCCTTTACCTTCATAATATTTCTTTACTAGCTGGGATGCAGTTGGCCAGTTCTGGTGCAATGCAGTTTTCAGTCTGTTATTTATCTACCTACCTTAGAGACTGAAGATATTTATTACTGTGACACTTTTCAGTGTAATATCTACATACCTCCCAGACTATTAGGAAACACTATTTAGGCCAACCTGCAGATGGGAAGCTAAAACAGAAAGCCGTTACAGAATCAAACCCCAAACTCCCTATACCCATTGGTACACCTGGATGTGAGTTCACGTGTGATATGGAACACTCATCTCCTTGGACTCAGCCTAGGACAGTTGCAATATTAATATTTTGTATTTTTACAGCTCCTTCCAGTTCAAGATCTTAGGGTACATTAATGTTTGTTAATTCAGCCTCTTGGTCCCCAAAGGGGTGTGCAAAAATCAAAATTAAGCAGCATTGTAAAGACAATGGCAGGGCTTGATGAGAATTCCAGATCTGCTCCTCGGTTGCAAGCACTAACTAGGGGGATAATGCTTGCTAAGGTAATTCAGAATGGCTGGCCTGGCTCAGCTTTCTTTTCCCTGGGAGACTAGAAATGCTCTGTTCATAATATACTCAAATCTCCCTGATTCTGGAAGCTCAACATTCATTTTCATATCTGGGCCTCCCACTTGTAATTGCACAGCTCGCCTAACTGCTGCTCTGCCTCAGCTCGGACTAATTATTGCTGTACTCAGCCTGCTGTTATGCATCTGCTTTGAAATGCTCCCTCTTCTTTCCACTTGAATTTGCCTTAACACGTATCCCTTCATTCTCCTACAGCATGGTTGCCACATACTTTGTTGCAACACACAGGCTTTTTAGTGCCTCTCTTCCACAAACGAGCTTTATTCATTTGTGCTTAGTGTCTGTGTACTTTTTGGATCCATAACCTCTTTTTCCCATTACTTTAACCTATTCTTTTATGGCTTTTGCTGACCTTGCACTGCTGCCCTCTTCCAATTGCAGAGTCAGAATGTTACACTTTCTCCATTATAAAGAAAAAACCCTGTTATCAAGTCATCTGGTCCTTGTCCAGCTGCTCTCCTTCATAGACCATCCTTATGGCCTCACCTTAAATCAACTTCAGCAAACTATTTAGCTTAAGACTCTTCTCTGAACAAGTCAGGCTCAGTTCTGTTCCTTCTACTCAAAAACACTTCCCACTTAAATCTCTGCAGACCTTCTCCTGGCCAAAGCCAATATGCTCTATCCATGTTGTTCTGTGTTGATTATTTGTTATCTCCTTAAGGGATAATAAATATTCCTCCATACCTTCCTTGGTTTTAGTAACTCTTGTCACTTACTTTCTCCACTATATCATCACCTCTTAATGTAACTGCCATATCCTAGGAGCTCCATCACTCTTTTTCTTCCTTCCTTTCCCCTATTTTCTTCTAGGAGATCCTATCTGTTACCATGACTCCAATCACTGTCTTAGCTCTGCAGTCCTGTGTCTCCTTCCACAGCTCACAGATCTCAGCCTTGATCTCTAGGATTGACTCAGGAATAGAAAAGGGAACTACTATGACTTGGAAGGCAACAGTAGCACCTTCCAGGCAGGTGCTCCACAACTGAGATGTAGCTACTCTCACCTACCTTGAGAATTCCGCATTTCCCTCTACAGCTTTCCTGACCTTCACTTTATTCTTTTAAATGCATTCAGAACAGTCTAATGCTATGAACTTCTCATCACCTTAGTTCCTTTACTTCTTATCTAGTTTTATCCACCTTGAAGTTAAAACAGTGATTTACACCAGACACTTAGATGGTGAATGAAGAGAAGGAAGCACACCCAGAGTTGGCTTTTCCACCCACCATTTATGTCACCAATTTAGATACCTCCACTGACGACAGAAGAACAATTAGCTCAGGCTATGCTTACCTTCTAGGGAGGTGAGACAAGCCACCTGATTCTATGTGTCTTTAATAGCTTCCTTGACCCAGACACCAATTCAAACACACAACATCTGTGCTGCATCAGTGGCATCAGCCCATATAATTCAATTGTTATTTTGATTCATAATTTGTCTCTGTACCTGCATTAACCTGTTACACTCTCATCTTCTTCCTTATTGAGAACCTTCATTTATAAAGCTTACAGAGGAATCTGGCATTCTTTCCCTCTATTTGTATTTTTCTGATTGCACCCATTCATCATTTTTTGTCTGAATTTTAAACCACAGGTTACGCGAGGTTGGGATGATGTTTCTTATAATTTTGCGAAGTCCCTGTAATGACAATTCTGATTTTTGTTTTAGATCTCTAGGTATCTCTGTAATCAGGATTAATATTTTTAATCATTCAGGTAGCAATTTTGCTATGAGGCAGACTGCATTTATGCACTGATGTCACTGGGTCTCCCATCTCCTCCCTTACTTTTACATATTACATTTTACTTATTCTAAAATTTATGAAAGGCGAGAGATAAGCTTGAAGAGTCAAACCCTTTGTCTGCTGAATCAACTAAAGCCCACGAGAACTCATGGAAGAGCACTCCCAGATGTAAACAGACTGTCCTGTCATCCTTATCACCATTAAATCCTTTGAGCATTCATTTTGAGGTGGACAAGAAAGCAAAGTCCATTTTCTACAAAGAAAAGGAATTTTTCATTCTGAGAAGCAGACATGGAAGTTCATCACTGTATGTCGCTAACCTGTGACTCTCTCAGAATGCACCTTCCCTTCCCAGTTCTGCCAGTGGACAGACTTGGACAATCTTTACACCTTTTGGATGTTTAACCTGTTCTCATCTGTAATTTGATTTCCTCCTCTTTTGGGCAGGAGATTGGAAACTCCAGAGTAGAAAGCACTAAGCATCTGCAAACCATTACTACCATTATTACAAGGGAAAAAAAGACCAAACCAAAGCAACAAAAAACCCCAAACTCAAACTATACCAAGAGCAATGACCATTAATGACACAGGAGAGAAATGGGTTCTTCAGCCCTAGTTTTTGGGTGGGAGGACAGAGGAAAAAAATGAAGCTTTTTAAAACACAACAATGAGACCGAAACAACAAAGGCATAATTCCTGCTAATAAAGCTGAGGAGGTACATACAGAGTATGCCAGTATGTTAAAATAGCAGGATTAATTCTGGCTTTGCCTGTGATTGGCAGCATCACCAAGTTGTCACCTACTGAAATGGAAAACCTCAACTTCCTCTGCTACTTCACTACTCTTAGTTTTTAAAGCAGAACTCTCTCCCTGGTGGCAGAATATCTGTGAAGGAACAATGAGAAATGGAAATATCAGTGAAAGCTGCCTAAAACCAAAAAGTCAGAGGATTGCTACATCCATTGGGTGTTGACATCTTCATTTTCCCTCAAAGAAGATAACCTTGGTGTATCACTCTAAGTTAGGTAAATTGTGTCCCATAAATCCAGACAAATATGTAAGTAGATAATCAAAGAATAAAAGGAAAACTATGAAAAGCAAGTATGGGAAGTGAGCTGATGAATTGAGCCACCTGCCCAAAGTAATTTACATTCTTTCAGCAGTCACCACAATTGCTGCATTTCGATTAACGTAGCTTGATTTGACATTTCATCAAGATTCCTGGAGACCTCAAAAATGATTTTGTAACCCCAACCTACTAAGAGAACTGGCTCCAGATCAATAGGGAGTCCATTTCAATTCCACTTTTCAAATTTGCAACAGCCTGAGGGACTGTTTTAACCCACTGCAGACGAAGGCTGGACTATACTCATCTAGATATGAATAATTTTTTTGTAAAGCCTAAAGAGGTGAATGCTTCAAAAACAAATGGAAAGACTATGGGAAAATGCACAAAGAATGTCACACCCTTTCTATGAACCAAATCAACTTTCCAAGTGTACTAAAGGCTCGTCTTCAGGTGCAAAACACTCAGACAGTGACAAGGTATTGTGGTGCAGTGGGTATTTTTGAGTAACCTGATGAATTCTCCTCATGTTTGGGTGCTGTCTGTTTAGTTCTATTCAAACCCTTTCGAAATAGGTTAAAGCACAATAGCTGTGGGGTACTTGAATAACCCTGGGGAAGACAAAGCCTTAGACAGACACATTTTGGCAAAACTTAGGTTTAAAAAAAATAGCAATGTTATGCAAGCTAATAAACATGTATTATGGTTAATGGGGACACTTCACATGGGGACACTTCAGAACCAAGGGAAGGTGTTGGGCAAGGAGCAACACTGGGAGTACAAAGGAATTTTGGAAACTAGGGGGTTTTCTGAACTGGTTACTCTTTTGTCACATACACAGCTGAATTCCTTCACTCCAGGAAAGAATTGTCACTTTTAAGGAAGCTCCAATACTTCACATCCAACCCTATAAAACCTATCTTTAAGAGAGTCTTTCCTACTCCTAGATCCTCCCTATGTCTTGCATAAGACCACAATTATTAGACCAATGTTCTAACAGATTGCCACTCACTTACATTCCCTACTCCACTCCATCAAAGCACCAAACTGAACTGGTCCATCTCTGCTATTCAAAAGACATCACCCTCTTAGCCAATGCTAAAACTACTTTTATACAAACATATCATCTTCTCCTCTGCTGTAATCTAATTTTCTGACAGCTCAAAGTATTCCGTGGGAAACTTGACGCTGACCTTGTGAGGCTCCCTTCATCCCTGCCCCAAGGTAAGGGGAGATGCCACCTTCCATAATGCACTGGAACCCACCCACAACAGCTGGAGCCACACATCTAGACATCAATTGTCTGCAAAATGTTCTGAACTACATGCACACACCATTCAGTCGCTAATTGCAAAACCTTGTACTTAATTCAGAAGAAAGAAATTCCTGTAATGTAGAAGTAATGGGTTAAACATAAATGTTTTTAAGTGGCTCAGCTATACAATAGAGAATAATTAGGTATCCATAATAAGGCAGTTTAATAGTATACTAAATGACATTCCCTCACATAGGGTGTAATTACTTTCGTGTACTTGACACATTCATGTGAGATGTCAGACTGGAAGATTATTATTGTTTTTTCATATCCAATTTTTAGTTAGAAGTAGTTTGTCTGTGCATCTTCCTGCTCATTTGAGGATTAACAGTCCATTATTATTGGAACGAGTTTCCAGTATGACATTTCTCACATTGCTGCTAATTTTCTTTCCTGGCCCCTTTTCAGTATAGTGCATGTGGTTTTTACTATTTGATTTATTAAATTTGACATACCAAAGCACTTGCTCAGATTGGTCTGTTTGTCAATGAAGACTTTAGCAGAGATAACATTTCCAAAAGGCATGAACATCTGCAGAATGTCCTGGTCTCCAAACTCCTGGGGGAGGTGGTAAATAAAGAGGTTTGCCCCTTCTGGACCTTTAGGAAAATAAATAAATAAAAAAAAAGAAGTATGAAAACAGCCATCACAAGTGCTACATTTAATCTATTTTTCCATAATACTTACTGAAGATGATGGTCAGAAAGCATTTCATTTTCCAAATTCAAAGGAACAAAAGCAAGTGGAGTACATCAAAGGAGTACAGCTGAAATGCAGCTCTTTAGAGCATCCCATCTTGAAAAGTGTTTACTTTGAAAAGCACTTATTTCATAACTCTACTACAGAAGCAATAAAATTCATCCTCTTTCTTCAATTTATATGAGTGTCTTGCAGTATAATTAGGGTTAGGAAAACATTGCTCTCTCAAAATACCCCAAGAACTGCACAAGGAGTCCTTTGCTGTGTCAAATACCTGCATGGGTTTAATTCCAGTTGCAGAAACTTATGGAAAGGGAATGAGCTGAGCTCAGATTTCAGTACCAGAGACTTAAACTCAAGAGGCAGGAAAACGGTGGAGATGGGAATAAAAGTAATAAGGCAAAGCACACCTTGTGACTTGGAAGTCAGTGAAGTCAGAGAGAGAAAGACACTCAGAATTGAATTTGTACTGACTCATTTCAAAATGAGCTTTTTTTTTTTTAATACAAATTCCCCATAGAATGCTCTGTCTCCTGAAAGAAACTTTGTAAATTAAGTATTTTAAAGAAGTTCAAAATTAAGTAGTTGGCTTGAAATTAAAGCAGCTTTAGATTGTTCAGTCTGCAAAGAGAGGTGCAAACTCAAAGGTGTTTTGGATATTTGTCTTATGGACAAAATTTGAGATATGCATTATTAAAGTTGTTGGTTAAAACATTCATCCTAGCACTAATAGGTTGTTTTTTTTCCCTAGCTCAAGTTTCCCTTTACAGTAACATATTGGAAATGAGCAATGGATGCCAGGAAGAACATGATATATGATGGAGCCACACACGGGCCCTCCCCATGCAGGCTCCAGGAGCATAACTGGTACACAAAGGGAACAAACATTTCTGGAAAAAACACTTGTAGAACAATCTGATTAAGTATTTCTTTGCTTAATGGAACCTAAATGCGCCTCAGATGTGATATCCTTGGTATTCTGGAGAGGGAGAGGAAAGCGAACATCAGATTTATGGGTTCCTTCTGCAACTGAGCCACAAAGCCTCACCTCTCTTCCATACAGAAGAACCAGGTTGGCTGCTCTCTCTCAGCCTGAAGGAAAAGGTTGCAATGTTTGCCCAAAAGGAGGGGATAAATGGGTTAGGGGAAAAAAAACCACATTTTTTTCAGGATGGGAAAAAAAAAAGATGCAAAAAAACTTGTCGCCTGGAACTTATTTCTTCTTGCCTCAAGTAAACTACAATTTCCAGTAAACAATATTTCTTAAAATAGTAAGAAAAAACCTTATTAAACAATATTTAAGAGCAGATGCATGAGGCAGTTCACTATGCTTCAACATTTAATGCTTATATAGCATTTTTCTCCAGTACTTGTCTATCCTCAGCCACTCCAGACTCTTCACCATTCCATCAGAAACCATGGTAAGAGGCAAAACATTGTTGCCAGTATTCAGTGATGGAATTTACTCACTTTAACTTAACTGATTACTGACAGATACAAGACATGTAACAAAAAATACTGTATTTTAAAAGGCTTGCTGCCAATTCATAACAATAAAAAATAAGCCTAAATCTGATTTGAATGTTTCTAAAGAGAAAAAGATTAAAATAGAAAAAAAATCAAACTGCCCTCCACTGTATATCTTGCAGTGACACCAAATAAAGAATTTTTTTCTGGTGTCAAATAGTCTATTGTCACTGACCAAAGTGCCTAAGGTGAAAGACAAATGTAGAAAACAAAACAAGAAAGAAAAAACAATTTAAAAAACCCTTTCATTTTAAATAATCCAAGGTGTTAGCAGTAAATGAAGGAGAGACATCAGACAAAATACACATTTTAAGTCCAGTGTCCCTATCTGGGGGAATGCCAAATTTGTCTTCCTAGGAAACGCATCCATAACAGTACAAGATACTATTTCAAAAGAGGATAAAAAAGATTTCTCTTGAGGATATTATACTAGGTTTATTTTCAAAGCTTACCCCTGGCAAGGAACAGTAGTGACAACACAGATAAAGTCTTAGAAAGCATGCAGCATTTTCCTGTCTTTCTAGAACTAACTGGAAATTAGGATGAGAGAAAGCCAGGAAAAGAGAAACAAGCCCCCAGAATGCCTGGGAAGTGTGCAAGGGAAGGGAAGAGGGGAAAAGGGTAAGCTCATTTTCCTAAACCCCTTGTAATTAATATTCATTTATTCTCAGTAACAACTTCCTGAGGTTTATTTGCTGTTGGCGCTGGGAGAGGGGGCAATCATTCACTTAGTTGCTTCCCCACAAGACCCACAATTAAGCAAAGAACCACTCAAAGTGAAAACGGATCTTGTCATTAGCTCAAAACCTTAAACTTAATCAGATTAACTCCATTATGATGGAATTTGGAAACCAGAAGAGAAAATTGCATCCATAAAGGGATGGTTTTTGTTAGCAGCACCTTTTTGTATGGTAGTTGGTAAATGCTTTTATATGAGCTCAGTTGGTCAGAGCATAGTGCTACTATCACCAGGGTTGTGGGTTTGATCCCCGTATGGGCCCTTTAGAGTTGGACTCAATGATGCTTGTGAGTCCCTTCCAACTCAGAATATTCTTTGAAATGAGAGGATGTCCTTATAGAAGGGAAATTTCAAGTTGAAGCTCCTATCCAGCAACGGGATTTGTGCAGCTCAGTCACTGCATCTCAGGAGAGCCCTGCTGGGCTTGGAGAGTGCCTGCAAAAATCCAGCCAGATCAGACCTTAAAATTTCTATTCTTATTTAAAGAAGCTTTACAGGTCGTACTAATTTGAAGCCTGAGGTTAGTTCAGTTGGCCAGAGCATAATGCTACTAACACCAAGGTTGTGGGTTTGAGTGCTAACACCAAAGTTGTGGGTTTGATCCCCGTATGGGGATCACTTAAGAGTTGGGCTTGATGATCCTTGTGGGTCCCTTCCAACTCAGAACATTCTGTGAAAGTGCAGTTTATTATTATTATTATTATTATTATTATTATTATTATTACTCAGAATATGCTGTGAAATAAGAAAGGATGGCCGGTAAGGTGTAAGCTGAAGGACAGATGGTTAAAAAGCGAAGGTTAAAGAAGGCGACAACACTAAACAGGAGAAAACTGGAAGAAAACAAAAAGCCATAAATTAGACTCCTCGAGGTCTTTCATTAAGCCTCCAAGGCGAAGACACCGCTGTGGCTTGGCTGTGGGCGACTCAGTGGCGTGGGCACTTACCTTCCTTCTGGCTGCCCGCGGCGCTTTGCTGCTGCAACAAGCTCTGGCTGTAGAGGGTGGGCAGCGCGGCGGCGGCGTACTGCTGGATTCCTGAGTAGGCCTGGGTGAGCGCGTCCATCGTGCCGGCCGTACCGTTCGTCAAGCCTGTCGCGCCGAGTCCTCCGTTCAGGGCCGCCATACCTGAGAGCATTTGAGCAACTTTACAAAAAACCCAACAATAGAGAAAAGAAATTGCACTTGTTCATTAGTGCTTTCCGAAAGTCGTTGGTTATTAATTTACGACACTGGACAACGACAGCGGTGCATGCAGCTCGGCACTCCACCAAAATGGGACTGATAACAAAGAAACACGACTTTGGCGTCAGGGTCACTTCAGCACAAGGGTTGCACAGTCAAATGGACTCGCATGCAGCCTGCTACTGGCAAGTACTACAGCTTCTGAGAGCCTCTCTGCTCACCCTCCTCCACACCTGTGCTTCTGCTGTGGGTGTCTGAAGCTGGGAGAGTGGGACCTATTCGACCTGTATCCTTGTAAGTTGGGCACTGGGAAAAGTGGTCTGCGAGGAAACTCACTCCTTCTGACCAGGGTCTTCACCAACAGGCCATGACTATACCATATCAGAAGTGTTTTGCTTATCCAGAGTAAGCAGAAAACCCTGATTTAACCGCATTTTGAAACAACTTCTTAAAGGTCTTTTCCAACCTAAATGATTCTATGATAACCCTCTGTACAATTATGGGCTTTGTCCCTTAGGCTCGTGATAGGAAGATGGACTGTGATGCTCTGTGCTTACTTCCACCCCCTTCCTCCAGTTACTCAAGACATGAACAGCAGCACATCCAGAGTGACTAAAAATGCTTCATCCAGACTAGGTATCTTTCATGAAGAAACAAAAGCATTTGTTTCTAGCAATGCCTTTCTTCTCATGGGAAGCAGAATCACTTCATTTTTATTTTTTTTTTACTTAAAGCGATTCTACATCCTGACAAACAACAGAATAATTTAACTGGGATGGCTGCTAAAGAGGAAATTTCAGGTGGGATTGCTAGCTGTGTGGAAAATGGCAGCCCTCATCCCTTCAAACAGTGTGGTCTGCAGAAGGAGTTGTACTACTCTGATACAAACTCCTGGGCTGCACCCTCTCTCCATTGCTTCTATTTCTCAGCATGGCTCCTACATGAGTTATGCTGAAATTAAAAGTGTTAACAACTACTTCAGAAATTCCAGAAAAAGTGGATTTTCTGTTAGAGCTACAGTCTCTTCAAGTCAAAAGCGTGGCAGAGTTCAGAGCCCTGCTCATCTTCCACGTGCCCAGCTTGTGTCAACCTAAGCAGTAAGTACCCATCAGGACTAAGAGTCAGGCCATGTTTTCTGCACAAGTAGCTACCCCATGCTCCCCAGCTTCCAAGTGAGCAGCTCACAAACAACTTAAAGGGCTTAGTCAGGCCCCTCGAGGTACAGCAGATCAGTCACTAGAAAAATGGGGCACCCAGAATCACCAGAGATCATTTCTTAGACGTTCACTGTGCAGTGTTTTGGTTGGCAGAATGATGGGTGAAGAAGTGACTTCTTAATATGGTGGTGCCATATTAAGTCTCCAAAACCAGGAACATGGACGAGAAAGAAAGGGCTTAATTTCAGAGCAGTAATAAGGGTTGGTATGTAAATTGGGGGAAAGTGGGGAAATCAGGCAGAAGACACTTTTAGTAAATTAACAATGAAATATATTAGACTGGGAAAAAATCTTCAAGGAAAATGGCATAAACCTTATCATATGAGCAATTTAGAGATAGTAAGAATACTGCAGGGAATTATCCCGCCTTGACAGAGGAGGATAAAGATGCTGACCCCAGTATCCTTCCACCTCTTATGTAGATTTGAAAAGCATATTCCTATGAGTCTCCAATAATCAGGACAATTGCTCAAGAGGCACCTTTCTGGCTCCACCAGTCTGTGCCAATTAAGAGAATTGTACTGCATAAATTATACCTTTTGATATTACTATAATTTGTGTGACTAAACACTTGACAGAGATGTGATATTCTTAGCCTTTCCTTAATAAAATGTCTCACACTTTGAAGATTTCTCTTTCCTCTCCACCCCACTTCAGAGCACCACTGTACCCTGATGGGAGGTACTGGCTGCCACTGCTTTGAACAAAAATCTCTGTCAGAGCTCAAGAGACCTGGGTATTTCTTGTATAATGGTTCCAGTCATAAAAATGTATTGGGATTGTGTGGTAGTGGAGGGGTTGCAGGGGTGGTTTCTCTGAGAAGCTGCAGAAGCCTTTCCTGTGTCCCACAGAGCCAATGCCAGGCCAGCTCCAAGATAGACCCACCACTGACCAAGAGCCCATCAGTGACAGTGGTAGCACCTCCAGGGTAACAGAGGGAAAAAAACCCTGTGAAATGGGAACTGCAGCCAGAGAAGAGAAGAGTGAGAATATGTGAGAGAAACAGCGCTGCAGACACCCAGGTCAGTGAAGAGGGAAGCGAAGGAGGTGCTCCAGGCACCAGAGCTGAGATGCCCCTGCAGCCCATGGTGCAGCCCCTGGAGGTCCATGGAGGACCAGAGGTCCACCTGCAGCCAATGGAGGACACCACACTGGAGCAGGTGGATGCCTGAAGGAGGCTGTGACGCTGTGGGAAGCCAGTGCTCCTGGTAGGACCTGTGGACCTGTGCAGAGAGGACCACTCCTGCTCCACACTGGAGCGTGTTTGCTGTCAGGACTTGCGATCCCACAGGGGATCCATGCTGGAACAGCTTGTTCCTGAAGGATCACCTGTGAATGGGATACTCGCTGGAGAAGTTTGTGAAGAAGTGGGAAGGGGACCCACATTGGAGGAGCTGGTGGAGAACTGTCTCCTGTGTGGGGACTTGATGCTAGAGCAGAGGAAGAGTGTGAGGGGTCCAGCCGCTGAGGAGGAAGGAGCAGCAGAGACAGCATGTGATGAACTGACCACAGACCCCATTCCCCATCCTCCTGTGCCAGTGGGGGAGAGAAGGTGGAGAATTCAGGAATAAAGTTACGCCTAGAAGGAAGTTGGGGGGGGGGGAGAAGGTGTTTTTAAAATTTGGTTTCATTTCTCATTACCCTCCTCTGATTTGATTGGTAATAATTTAAACTAATTTCCCCAAGTCAGGTCTGTTCTACCCATAGTGGTAGTTGGTGAGTGATCTCTCCCTGCCCTTATCTCAACCCATGAGCCTTTCTTTGTATTTTCTCTCCCCTGCCCCTTTAGGAGGGGGAGTGATAGAGCGGTATTTAAAATATTATAATAACAAGGAAAATAACAACAATAACTTTTATAATAAATTATGTGTGATATGCAAAATATTCGATTTTATGTATTAAATACTACTGCTACTACTAATTTGATCCTGGGGCTGACCTTAATCTGCTCTGATGTTTTTGGACATAGGTTTGTGTCACTGCTTGCATGGACTGGTTAAAATAGAGGCTCCTGATGAAGCAGCTTGTATCTCTATTTTATTAGTGTTGAAATAACTTGATAACAGACATAACATTAGGATAACACGTTATCTTTCGTGAGTCATCAGCCTATTAGATAAACATGCTTTGTGTTGCAGTGGGCAGCATGCCCCCCCTTCTCTCCTCAAGAATCAATAGCCCCTTCCCACCAAGTGACTCCAGATTAGCAAACAGCCAGACAGCCCAGCTCAGGGCACTGCTTCTGGGAAGGGCACAGCCACTGCTGCCACAGTGCACGTGTCTAATACACCTCCCTTCTGAGCAAAACAGAGCTGCAGCAAGCTCACCACGTTTTTTCTGTTCTCCCTTTTTACATTTTTATGACATCTACAAGGCCCAGCTGCAGTTACACATCTCTCCCATCTCTTTATTATCTCTACCAATGCACCTCTGTCTGACATTGAACTCTGGTCCCTTCCTCCCTGCTGTGAAATAACCTTTTGGAGCCTCTCATCTATGGCCTTCTACTTTTCTGAGTTTCTCTACATAATACAGAAGCAACAATGCTTGGCAAGTCCAAAGGTCTTTCAAAGTGTTTTCCAAGCACCTTCAAATCTGTCACAAATAGTTTTATCTCCATTTTACAGATGTAAATATGGGGGCAGAAAGGCTAAGTGATTGCCCTGGGGTCTCACACAAACACTGTGCCATAGCTGTTCAGTATCCAGAAACTATGGTCTTCTTTCTTAATTGCAAAGAATCACTTCCTCCCTCTTTATTAATTTTTCCTCATTATTCATAATTCTTTTTGTTACTTAAAATTCTTAAATTTACATGCCCAAAGCAGACAGTCTAATGTTTTGCCATTTAAGGTTTTAGGTTCTTCAAGAACAACCGAGGGAAGACTGGGTGAATCCCCACATGTAGGTACCACTGCTGCCAAACCCTTGGAGACAGTTAAACTTACCATACTCCACTTTCTTTAATTTTTAAGACTTCCAGACAGCTTTCTACAACACTTCGCTCTCACTATCAGTCTCCGTAGTCCAGCTTCTTTTTCATGGACCCAAACAGGATCCAGAAAACAGGTAAGAGTCTCCTAGTGAGCTCAGCATGGAAGACATTCTCCATATGATGCTCACACACAGAGCAGGACACCTCAATGACCGAGCCCAGTGTTGCCCCTCTGGTTAATTTTTGAGTTACGCTCCCGTTGACTTGTGCTTTGGATTTTCTAATTCCCCAATTAGAAGCATGTCATTCAATTCCAAATTCTCTGCACAATTACTTCAGGAACATTCACGGCCAATGAATGTTTTTACTGGAGTGCTTATGACCATGGCATAAGCCACGTCAGGGTGAAACATCAGACTTATTGAACATGAGGTTTCCCGAAGGCAAACTCCCAGGCAGGTTTGAGTGGGAATGACTGGATCAGACACAGTCACTTGGAAAAGTCCTGGATCATCATTAAAATAGACAGGGGAGGTTGCTGTAATTTGAACAAGGCCTCACTGTCATCAGCATCACAAGCACCAGAACTGAAAATCACGTTTTTGGGAGAAACAGTGCCATAACACTGAGTTGTGTCATGGGGAAGCAGTGTCCCCTCCTTAGCTCTCTCTCTTATATGTACGTACATAGACAGACATACCCACGTACATTTGTAAGTGCTATACCCATGTCCATAAAAGCATCCATGAAGAAGATTTGGGACTGAAGTTACTGTTGGTACAAGTCCATGGAAGTAACGGTGGCTTAAAACAAGCTCAAATTTGGTACTAGGTAGCAAATACATCATTAATATTTCAAATGACACATGTAGATAAGTTTGCACACACATCATCTCAGAATACTTGCTGAGAAAATGTAAACTCTCTGCGTGCAGCCTAGCAAGGAGTGTTAAAAGAAGTGCAACAGAAGGGTTCCTATACAAAGAGCTCACAGGTGATTCACTCTTGCTAAGTCTTGATACATTATGTTGGAGTGCTCCAGTATGCCCAGGTTCTTACTACTTGTGAGAGGGAAGGAGTGGGATGCCATATTTTGCTCTTGATATTGTGACTTCTTATAAACCAAGTGAAGCACAATGACAGTTTATCAGGAAAGGTCATTTAATGATTTCTTACAACAGGGTAGCTCTCTTACTACAAGTGCTCACGAGGGCAGAGGAGGTAAATTAGCTTTTCATGCTTGCCATTTCCAGTGGCTTGCTTCGATACTAATGTAATAATAAGAAAGGAAACTAACATCTGCCATTTCGGGACCTAATACTTACTTTTCTTTAGTTGTTCTTGAGTTGTATTTACAGAGGTTGTTTGTGTGAAATATGCACGTCCTTGCCAGAAGCAAGTCCTATTTTACACAAGACCCCATGCAACCACTCAACATTGGACATCCATAAGCCCCCTTCCTTCCCAGCTCCCAGCAACGCCAACCAGAGATCACAGAACAAAAAGATTGGGTGAGCAGCCAAGTAACAGTAACAGAAAGGACATCATGCAGAGCATCAAGTGAGCAAGAGATACTGAGGAGGACATCCATTCCTGAGGGTACATTATGACGGGTCATGGGCTGGCAGTGACCAAATAGATTCCTTGCATTGCAAAAGGAAATGCAAGGAGCAACGGCAGCTAAAGAAAAAAGAGGGAGGGGAAAAATGCAGCTAGACAAATCTCTTCCATTGCAGGCAGAGGTGAAGTCATCATAGCAGAAACAATTAAAAAAAAATAAATCCTTCTTCAGGAAAATCTTGACCAAGGCTAAGAACAAGGAAGAATGCCATAACAGCTACAGGCATCTATTTAACTGGAGATGCCAGGGTTTGTGTAAGATGTCACAGGAAAGATGTGCATGCTCTGGCATTACAGGTGACTGACTGTACCATTCTCTTATACTTGCCAATTAAAAACCAAAGACTTGCCTTCATTTTTAAAGTATGTTGCTCTCAAGTCAACTTGATAATTCCTACAGACATTTTAAAGGACTGCCTTGGTGGCAAACATCTTTCTTAGCACTACATTTCTGAGTGAGGCTTTGCACATTGGGGTGATATACCTGTTGTCAGACTCCCTCAATGAAAATGGGGCCTCTCCTATAACCTAGATAACCCAAATCTCTGGTGACATTTCTTTTACCTTCCACATATACTGAAAGAAAAGGAGTCTTTGTTCAGGCACTCACAGAACTTCATTTTGCAACACAAACAGTGTGAAACTAAAAGACTCCAGAACTGCATATATACCATGAATGGAACTGGATCAACTTAACCCCCTTATTTGGTATAGAGATTAAAAATCATCACTTTACAATTGATAGTTTTTGTGGCATGATTATTGGGGAAGGCTGTCCACCACAGCAAATAAATACTCACTGTTTACGGTACCTGCTAGTGCATTAATATTATTCAATCCAACAGTGGCTCCAGCCAGTCCTTGGAGAGTACCCAGAGAAGTCAAAGAATTCATGGCCGCACCAGCTGTGGAATTAGCTGTTGATGCAGCCACTGAAAGGAAAAAAACAAAGCAAAATTAAGGCCATATTTTGTTTATTTTAGTTGATCACAGAACAGCTTACAATAATGTGGAGAACAACAACAGGGCTACTTGCAAGGAGAAGAAAAAAAGAAAATGAGACCAACAAACATTATTCAAGATATTAATAGTATGATTGTTCATGGATAGTGTTGATAAGCCTAGAACTGCAAATACTAGATCACCAAACTGTACTATTATTTGCAAACATGATACTGAAACAGTAAGAATGGGATCAGGCACTTTCTCAAAAGTTTGTCAATCAACCTAGCATCCCAGGCTGACTAGGCTATTGGGATTTTGCCACACTTCAAAGTCCATCATTGAAAAAACAAGAATTACTCATCGTAATTTTTTCATAAAACAGCTTACTCTTCTGGGCCTCAAGTGCCCTAAGAGGAAGTTTAATTATTCTCAGTGAGACACTACGCTCTAGGACACTGTATGAATATAATTCAAAGACCTGAAGTTTAGAAAAAGAAGAATGACCAGGCAAATACAAAATGTAACTACTCTCCATTTTATTGCAGGCTTTTAGCCTGGCCTTTGTACATAGCTAGTCACGTACATACACCCCAATGGTACTCTTATGTGTACCCAAAAGCTCTGCCAGAGGGGAAAGGGTGGAGAAAATGTCCTTGCTGCTACAATGTGAAGGGAATGATGAAGGTGGGCGAGATGAATCCATTTAAACTACATGTTTAGGAACAGAAAGAGACTTACTCTCTTGTCATAGGAAAGTAATAAAGCACCTTGAAAAGAGTCATCATTTAGGATAGGTCAGGCGAACTAGAAATACCTGTCTCTCTCACAGAAGAGCCTTGAATAACCAGTGTAGATTAAACACTTAACTTACGGGTAGGTAAAGTTATACCAGATGAATCACACTCATAAAAGCTGCAGAAGCAATTAGGTTTTTAGCTTGTCTCCTGAGCCCTACTTTACTGCATCAATTATAAAGACTTCCTTTCATTTCTGTTATAAAGTTGCATTATCTTATGAAAAGTGAACATTTAAAGTCAGAGTTTTGCTGATGATGTATTGGAGGCACATCATATCTACACCACATTTTTTTGCTCCTATTCATTACCTGGCTATGAAATGGTTAAGAGCACTTTTATCTTGATGCTCCTTTGGGCTGTCAAACACATCAGATTATGCACTGAACTCTCAAGAAATTGAAGTCTCTAGAGCTGACAGCATCCAGCAAGGAAAGTAGGAGGCAACTTTTCCACTCTGTAGGTAAACCTTGAAGCTCTAACCAACAAATAACCTACCTTTACAACACTAAGACCCAGCAAAGAAAAGTCTTCAAACTCATGAGGCCTCAAAGTACAAAGAACATTCTTGGTGGGGGTGAAGAGGGATTTCCAGACTCTGTTATGCATCCCTCATCTCCCAGCATCTGCAATCTCAGCTTGAATAATTTTATATGTTGCAGATAGAAGCAGTTTTGATTATGCAATCTGGCCCCATACAGCAATAAGAATCCAATAATGTCTTTGATTAAAAAAAGTAATAAAAACAAAGTAAAAAATCCCACTTTTGTCAGACAATGTGAGCACCAACAGAGAAGAGAGGACAAAACCAAAGTGAATTCCCTGTGATCAACACTGCTCTGTGTTTCTGTTAATGTTCATTAGCAAATCATTTAAACGAAGTATATAAACCTCAAATATGAAGCATCTGATTGGTTTTGACTGGACTAAATTCCATCCATTTTCTGTTTCAGAGGATTTTTACTATTTTCTCTTGAGGAAACACATATACTTAAGAAATGAGAGAAATGGGGGCTAGGAAACAGCCTGTAAATTACATTCAAGCTGGGGGCAAATAACTCCTGTGAACAAGAGCCATACACTTATGGATTGTCAACACATCTGTTGGAGAAGGCAAAAAAAATTTGCTTAAATCCTTCCCTCTTGTGCAGCCCACAGTGTGTTGTGGTGCCTCTTATCATAGTCTGACTGTGAAACACATGCTCCAGAGATGGTCAGTATCTGGAGCCAACACCTCTTCTCTTCTTTTACTTGTATCAAGTTTCTCTGTTGCATCAGACAAATACAGAGCAGGTGCCTCAGTGCTTCTCCCATTTGAAGATGCAATGCAGATTATTTGCCTAAATAATGACTTGGCACATAATCAGTGTAGAATACTAGCTGGAGCACTAAAGCACCTCAGAAACCAGCATTTTGTTGTTGTGGCTATTTCTTCTGCTCGGCAGTGATCTGCCTCACAGATCCAGCAGGCCAGTGCTTTTTTCTCTTTGGCTTATTATTTCTTTGAGGAGAAAGAAACTGAACAAATTGTGTGGTTTCCATTATCTTACTGGACAGGGGGTGAATAGAAATGAAGGGAGCTCCTTTGGCTGAGGCACTTGGGCAGATCCAGCACTTTCTTCCTGGGCCTTCCTGAGAGACTCCACACTAGTTGATTGAGACCTGCTTGTAGGAAATGAAGACAGTGCTGAGCTACACTATTATCATAAAGGGGACACAAAAGGTCTAAGCTATTAAGAGAGGTGAAAATTTCCCACAAAATGCTGTATAAAACCAACAGATGAAACAAAGGTATGTCTTGCCCCCCTCTAAAATTAAAGGGAGATGAAACTGAAGTTAAGGGTCTTACAAGACGTGTGAGGGCTTAGATCAATTGAAAGTTTTTACTTCATGTGCTCCCAGAATATGTTGAAATCCATCTAGAGACAAGGACTATGCTTCCCCCGTCCTTTACCATTTTCTAGTTCCTTTCAAGTTAAAAATTGTAACATATATTGAATTGAAGGGGCAGAAGAAAAATCACATGCCTTGTGGTAACAGCAGATGACTGCAGCACTTTGGGGGAACCTGTATAACTCTCCCACGTCAGCAAAACTCTTGGGCTCCACAAATGCTCAGGGTAATGGCAAGGGAAGAATAATTCGTGCCGGAATACTGTTATTCTATATTTATGTCTTTTAGGTGTCCAGATGACAAAAGTAGATTGGATACCCACAGACTTTATAAACTGGTTTTCACCAGGTTCCCCTGCCACCAAATACATGAAAACACTTCACAACTCCCTCCATCCTCCACGCCAAAACACTGCTGCTCTGAAGTGGATCACTTCATAGTGCTGCTTCATAAAGAGTAGGCATCTGCCTCCAGGAACTTGACGTATGGAGCTGTAGTGCCACCAGGAATTGCCCTCTGTGCTACTGGTGCACAAGCATTTGGTGCAACAGGGAGGAAAATCTAACGCAGAAAACAAATGCAAATGACTCTGACTTTTGGTGTCACTCAGCGTGGCACACCCTGCATCCACAACATTGTGTATTGTTTTTCTCTTTATACTGGGAATTTTATCCTTGCCTCCTGTGGTACTGATACTGAAGCTAAGGGGAGAGACTGAGCAGACTGGAGATCCAACTGGTTGAATGCTGGCTGAAGATCCAACACTCGCTGCAGAACAGAGATCCTTTTAACCAGCTGCATCAATCATTCCCCCCTCACAATCTTAATCTCTGAATAAACATCAAAACATGACAGATAAGATTTCTTCTACTCAAAGCAACTTTTTCCTTTCTAATATGTGATATTGCAATAAGTTGATGACTTTCCAAAGAGGGTGTTGCTCAATCAGAGACTATTGGCAGGAGTTACAGGGTTGAATCTTTTGGCTGTTGCTGCAAGACTTCAGACAAGATGTTCATCGTATTCCCCCCCCACACCTTAAAACTCTATTAATACATGAAAATAATATCACAGCATTGCCTAAAGAGGTCAGTTTAGACTTGTAAAAGTCAAGAGTTGCCCAGTAGCCTGTAGAAAAATCTGCTTTTTCTTACAGGTACACTGCATGTTGCCTTCTCCATCCATACCACATACAGAGACCCTACAGAACACTTTTGCATCTCCAACCGTGAAAGGCAAGAAGGTTAAAAGTGTTTATTTTACTATTAGAGACCTTACTGTTTCTTCTTCATTGACTCGTCTATTCCCACATTTCTGTCAGTCTCACACCCTTCCTCCTCCTTATTCTAAACTCAATTTCATCTTAATAAACACCTAGAAAACTTTGAAAAATAGAAATTACATTTTTAAGAAGCTCTGAAATGGAGCAGGGCAGGGCTGCAGCCTTTCCCCAACACCCTCCCCAAATCAATCCCAACTTCAGCCATTTGATCTTACTGTGGTTCCTCCATTTAACTGATGAAATTTTTATTACCAGCTTTGTTATGGATAAAGAGACTTGGCCTTTGGTTAATATATTCTCTAAAAGAGCTTTTCTTGATGCAGAGAACACATTTTCATTTGGAGTGGTTGCTCTACACAATACAGATATTTGTGTTTAACCAGTAATGTTGCACTCAGAGATTTTTAAGGCTGGAAGGATCTGGCATTTTCAACTTTCTCCTCAAAGCATTTACTTCTGCCTGTAAAAAGTTATAACTCCTTTTAGGTCGGAAATTTTTTTTTAAACAGAAATCTAAACTAGCAATGAGCTATTTCCCTCTTAATTTAAATAACATTTCAGTGTAATTCCTGTAAACTATGCCAACCTAGAAAAACAACCAGTATTAGCATAGCAACTTTTGGCCATTCTTTTGGCTAGCTAATGTCAATAGAGTCATGATGATTTACATCATCTGGATTTACCTCAGCTGGAAAACTAGATTCAGGATAACAGCATCTAGGAAAGGCAACGATGTGTAAATATTTCTTTGGCTTTGCTATGCACACTGTGGATAGAATTAATTTCCCCACCTTTGGCAGCCTTATTGTTAGTTTAAGCTAGTCTAGTCAAAACTATTCTTTTCAACTGCCTCTGAGATTTAAAGACCTCCAATTCAGAACCTTTAGATTTCTATCTCAGGTTGGGCTGACTTGCCCTTAAGAGCACAAAGATGAGCTCAACTACCAGATGCTGTTGATGCCTTTCCCAGTTCTGCCTCAAGCTTCTTGTGCTGCCCTGGATAAAGCACTTGCTATGT